GGGTTCTCTGGCTTCTTCCCACAGTCCAGAAACATGACAGTCAGGTTAATTGGTCTCTCTAAATTCTCTCCAGGTGAGTGTGGCTGTCCAGTCTGTCTCTGTTGCTCAGCGACAGACAGGTGACCTGTCCAGGTGACCTGCCAGGTGACCCCGCCTCTCGCCCAGATTGCAGTGGGGCGATCCGGGCCCAGTCGGGACAAGGGTGTTAGAAAATGGATGGATGGAAATATTCCATTTTAATTTAATCTTTTGTGATCTAATTTCCTTTTAACTGAATTTAAGATTTAACTGAATGACGGTATCTTGGACGCGGTTCTGTCCGCTGACGTCTTCCTTCCTCCGCCCTCAGACTGAAGCGGCTGCTGGAGCAGGAGAAGGCCCTGCAGGCCCGGCGGCGCCAGGAGCACCGCAGGAGGCTGGAGGAGCTGCAGGACGAGCTGGGGAAGCTCAGGTCCTTCACTGTGCTGCTGGCGGACGAGCGGCAGCTGCACGTCGAACACATCCACCAGCAGAACCAGAAGATCCAGGACCTCAGCCAGAAGCTGCGGAACCGGGAGCGGCGGCTGGCCGCGTCCAGCGACGCCGCCCTGCAGGACGGGCAGAAGGCGCTGCGCCTGGAGGCGGAGCTGGAGGCCCAACAGGCGAGGTTCAGGCAGGACCACCAACACCTGCTGGCCAAGATGGCCGACCAGGAGTACCAGAACCAGCAGCTGAAGCTGAAGCTGGACGGGCTGGCGCAGAGGGCCGGGGAGCTACAGGAGAGGAACGCCCCGCTGCAGAAATCTGAGGAAGACCTGCAGCAGCTGAGGGAGAAGATCAGCGGCGGAGAGCATGGAAACTCCTCGCTCAACACTGAGCTGGAGAACCTGAGGAAGAAAGTCCTGGAGATGGAGGGCAAAGACGAAGAGATCACCAAGACCGAGACGCTGTGCAGGGAGCTGAGGAACCGGCTGCAGGACGAGCAGAACCGCAACCAGGAGCTGCGGCTGCAGGTGGACGGCCTCCAGAAGAGGATGGCGGAGCTGGAGAGGCTGGAAGCAGCGTTCAGCAGGAGCCGGACGGAGAGCGCCCAGCTGCACCAAAACCTGGAGAAGGAGAGGAAGGTGGTGAAGGACCTGGGCACAGACCTGGACCGGCTTCGGACTCGGCTGAAGGAGCTGGAGTCGTCCGAGTCCAAGCTGGAGACAAACGAGTCGGCGCTCAGAGAGGAACTGCTGAAGCTGAAGTCCTTCACCGTCATCCTGGCGGATGAGAGGAAGACGATGGGGGAGCGGCTGAAGCAGGAGGAACAGAAACACGAAGACTTGAGTACGATGCTGAAGGCAGAGCAAGGGAAGGTCACGGAAGTTACAGAGAAGCTGATAGAGGAGAGCAAGAAGTTCCTGAAGTTCAAGTCAGAGACAGAAGTCCAGCTGGAAGGTCTGACTCTGGAGAGGGAGGAGCTCCGATCGACGCTGAGGAGCAGCGAGGAACAGCGTGACGAGCTGAACGAGAAGCTGAAGAAGATGAGAGCAGACAGACTGGAGGAGATGGCCAACAGAGACCGAGAAGAAGACGACCGAGTCCAGAAGCTCACCACCGAGATAGAGAGGCTTCGAGGCCGGCTGGAGCAGCTGCAGGTGGTGGAGGGAGACCTGATGAGGTCAGAGGACGAGTACGACCTGCTGGAGAAGAAGTTCAGACACGAGCAGGACCGAGCAAACACGCTGTCCAAGGTGGTGGACGAGATGAAGGCTCAGGTGGCCAGGAGCAAAGCAGTGGAGCGAGGCGAGGCCAAGAGCCTGGAGGCCCAGCTGAGGATCCGCTGCAAGGTGGAGGAGGCCAAGACCAGAGAGCTGCGGGTCGAAGTCCTCGCCCTCAAGGAGAAAATCCATGAACTCATGAACAAGGAGGACCAGCTCTCCCAACTGCAGGTTGACTTCTCCGTCCTCCAGCAGAGGTTCCTGGAAGAAGAAGAGAAGAAGAGGCGCCTCAGTGTGGATGTGGAGAACCTCGCCAGGGAGCTGGAGGCCTCCAAGCGCTACAGCCGAGCCCTGAGGCCCGGTGTGAACGGCAGGAGGATGGTGGACGTCCCTATCACCTCCACGGCGGTCCAGACGGAGTCAAACGGGTCGGCCGAGGATGAGACGGCAGCCGGATTCATCCGGAAGTCCGTTCAGGAGGAGAACCACCTCATGAACAACCTCAGACAACACAGCCTAAAGAGGCCCGCGGTTCTGGATCGATACCCTCCGGCGTCATCAGACCTCGGAGGGAGATCCTCCACACCCTGGATGGGCAAGATGGAGGCCGTCACGCTGACTCAGACCCGACGGTCCTCATCAATGTCCCCGAATCAGGGACGACCTCTTCACATCCGCGTGACACCAGACCACGGGACGAGCACGGCCACCCTGGAGATCAGCAGCCCGCGTCCTGAAGACTTCTTCTCCAGCACGACCATCATCCCAACGCTTGGTCTTCAGCAGCCTCGCATCACCATAGTCCCCAAACCCTCAACTGTTTGTACTGTAAGTGGAGATCCTGATCGGGCCAAGTCTCCGGTTGCGGTCACCAGCATCTCCAGAACCAGGAGTCCAGAGAAGCCCAACATCATCACTGGGGTCCTGCAGTCGCCGGTGTCCATCATCACGGTCAGCACCACCCCGGTAGCCGAGGCGTGTGCTTCATCTGACCCTCACGAGAGCAGCACCAGGCGGACGCTGATCAAGATGACGTCTGAGAAACCACCAGAGAGGAAGTTCAACAGCAACATCGTAACGACAGAGGACAACAAGATCCACATCCACCTGGGCTCCCAGTTCCAGAGGAGCTCTGAGGGCAGCAGCAGTCCTCTGCTGACCCTCAGATCAACAGGAAGTAACTGCGACTGCCAGGAAACTGGAACGGTGCTCCGCTCCCCGCGCCAGAACAAGATGACCAGCAGTATAACCATCAACCCTGTCACCTCTGCAGCGTCCAGACCCACACAGTCTCTGGTGAGTGTCTGAAGATCTCGAGTGACTTTTGATCTTCTGACACTTCAAATGCTTCTGAATTGTTTCAGGTGACTGTGGATTCTGCAGGTAGAACACACTGGATCCACCTTGGCAGCCGGTCCGATGGAAAGTTCTGTCTGTCGCAGCAATTAGAAAACGTTCATGTCAGTGGCTCTTCACAGACCACTAGCGATTTCCTACAACAGCATCTCCGACTGCCCAACCAACCGAGACATCAGGCCTATTTCTGTTGAAACTATGTAACAACTAGAGCAACTTAAAGTCCATGAGGCCTTGTTAGCCACTGCTAGCCATTCCCTGTGACAGCAGCTCCAACTGTCCCACCAAAGGAGACCTGGGGTCTATTTTTGTCGGACAGTTGACGGTCCAACTGATGGACCAAGCAAGACCTTTGGTCTATTTTTGTTGAAACCTTGTAGCACTTAGAATAAGTTAATGTCATTGTGACCTTACTAGCTACTGCGTCTCAGGTTGTCTGACCAAATGGACCGATCGGGAGTCAGATTTAGGTCATGAATTTGATGGGAATCTCATGAGAGAGAGAAGAACTTAGAACGGTGAAGAAGTAAGATGCAGAAGTACAGCACAAGAGTGAAATGTTGATCTTATGTCAACATTTTTGAGTTTTACTTCCAGACTGTGTTGTTTATGCTAGCAGAGTTTCATTGACACATGGTCGGTATCAACATGGCTGAACTGTTAGTATAACTCGTTAGCGCTAGCAGAGCTAATGTTTATGATTAGAGCTTTATTGTTAGCGCAGATAGCTTTTCAGTTAGCGGTGCCCACACTGGTCGTTACCCTAACAAACCAACTGCTGGTAACTGAGAAAAACTTTGCTTGAAAAGTCCAGAACTATCCCTTTAAGAGTCTTCAAGGTTTCTGCATCCAGGACTGTCTCCTGTTCATGCTGGGTTTTATGTTTTCAGCTCGGTTCCGATGTGCAGCTCAACGGGAAGAAGGTTGTGGGTTTGTCCGCAGTGACGAGGCTGGAGTCCCAGGCCATGAAGATCGAGCTGAGGAAGTCGACGGTGTGCAGCTCGGCCTCTGCAGCAGCAGCAGCTGCAGCAGGAAACAGCTGAGAATCTGATGAGGATCTGATGAGAATCTGATGAGGATCTGATGAGGATCCGCTCCCAACAAGCAGCTGCGGCTCCCAGCCTGGTTCTGCTGGGTTCTGTTTGGGCCGGGCCAGGCTGCTGTCACGTGTTTGATGCCGCTCAGGTTTCTCTGCTGCTCCTGGAGGTTTGGACTTACAGAGACACGTGAATCCATTTCTGACCAGAACCAAATAAACTATTTATCTAAACTTCAGCTTCTTTCTTGTCTCAGCTGTCTGAACTTCAACATGTTCACTTTCTGAATGTTAAACCAAGCGGCTTTTAAACGACATGTTTTGGGTAAATTGAAACTAAATTAATTTTACTATTTTATCTGACTCAAATTGTCCATAAAAATGTCCAAAAACACGGATATGTATGTTTATTCATCACACAGATTAGTGCTGCGTATTTTGTATTTTGTCAATTTGTTACATTTTATTCAGCAAACATTTCTTTAGTCAAGTACAATATTTTGATCAGATGATCACTGATTAATCAGTATAATTATTTTGATGTTCAATGAATTAAAAATTTTCATTTCTATCATCATTTTTTAGTTGTACTGCTTTATGTGTCCCATAACTGCAGCGACATTATCTATATAGTTTTGATTGACTTTAAATAATTTTTCTGAGTTTTATATTTTATTTGTATTTTTACTTTGATCTAAGCAGGAGATATAGGAGTCACTGAAAAAGGAATTCTGAAATATAAGTCAGAATTTAATTAGATCCATTATTTAAAGTCCATTTTAATTATTGTTTTTTTTTTCCGCATTGGTATTTTGGTGTTATAATTTTCTAATTTCAGATTTATTAACTGTATTACCAAAACGAGCCAGAAGATGGCGCTTTGAGACCCAAAAAACATTGTCCTTCTGTGGACGGCAGGGGGCAGCACTGGTCCCGAAGGAAGAGAGGCAGACGTTGGTGGCCGTTGTGATTTTGTAACGATGCTTTGATTCCGACAGTTTAACGGTCAACAATTGTTTTAGCAACTTCTCCCTGGAAACAACAGCTGACAATGATGGCCTCCAGCTACAAAGACGAGGACGGACACATCACCGTGTCGGGATCCGGAGCCGCGGCCGGCGGCGGCGGCTCTCTGCGGAGCAAGAAGCCTGAAAACACCGCCTTTAAGCAGCAGAGACTCCCGGCCTGGCAGCCCATCCTGACCGCAGGGACCGTCCTGCCAGCCTTCTTCATCATCGGCCTCATGTTCATCCCCATCGGCATCGGCCTCTACGTCACGTCCAACAACATCAAGGAGTTCGAGGTAGCCATGTTTGTAAGACAAGCAGCAGAAATTGTTAATCAAGCCAGTGACTGGCTGCACCAAACTCCCTTCAGGAATCTGCTGTTTTAGAGAAATTTCCTCCTGGCCTGTTGAAACAGCTCGATCTGTTGGAAAGCGAACATTTGTTTCGAAGGCTTGGTTTCTCCGGATGATTCCGCTAAAAGAAAACAGAAAAACATAATTTAACAAAGACAATAGCCGAGCTTAAAAAGAATTTCAGCCAGACTTCCAAATTATGGCATTTAGTGACATTGTATTACTGACAATTTCATAAATATTTATTTAAAACACTGTTTCTTGATGATTCGGCATAAATAAACATTTCAAACATTATCATTAAAGCCCTAAAACCAAGTTTAGAAAGTCTGTCAACAAAACTGCATCCAGAAATCTGATAATTTAATGACATGCTGGAGATTTAATGACATTTCTCTCCTTTATAGAGATATGAACATTCATTTAACATACTGTGTCCTCTATTTACTGTTTTTATGAGGATTTCACAAATAGAAATAAAATAAAAACAATCCTTCAACATTTGTTTTCTTTATAAAACGTTTTGTTTATTACATCTGCATCGAGATTTCTGTAGAAAGTTGAGGTCCTCTGGATGATTAAATGAAAAACGTAATTAACAGTAAAACCAAGTTTTAAAATGTTTCCAAAGATCCTTCATTTTAGTGACGCTGTGTGTCTGGTATCTAGTGCGGCTGTTGGGTTATAACGTTTCAGATCCATGATCCATGATGATCCAATGATGGTTTCTGTCCAGATCGATTACACAGGAGTAGAAATGTCCAGTCCGTGCTTTAACTGCTCCCAGAACTTCAGCTGGAACAGCACCAAGCCGTGCACCTGCTCCGTCCCCTTCCACCTGGACCAGCCGTACGAAGTAAGACCCGCCGCTGTCCGGGTGCGAGCCGCTGCGGCCGGGCGTAACCGTCTCTCTTCCGCCCACAGAGCAACGTCTTCATGTATTATGGACTCTCCAACTTCTACCCAGAACCACCGCGCTACGTCAAATCCCGAGACGACAGCCAGCTGAACGGAAACGAGGAGTCCCTCAGGGTGAGGCTGCGCTGCTCAGGACGTTCTGCTTCATCCAGCCGTTACGTTTATTTCTCTGCTTCCCAACAGAAACCCAGTAAGGAGTGTGAGCCATACGCCAAGCACAGCAACAAGCCCATCGCGCCGTGCGGAGCCATCGCCAACAGCATGTTTAACGGTGACGACTCAGGGTTTCCCCTCAGAACCGCTCCACGTCTTCTGCTGAATTCATTCAATATTTGTATTTTTTAGACTCACTGGAGCTGATTTACATCGACCCAAACGGCACTAAGGTCCAGATCCCGCTGACGGCCACGGGAATCGCCTGGTGGACGGACAAACACGTCAAGTTCAGGAATCCTGGAGCAGAAAACACGAACCTCAGCGTCGCTTTTCAAGGTAACGAGCTGGATCCACCCGGATCCACCTGGATCCACCCGGATCCACCTGGATCCACCCGGATCCACCTGGATCCACCCGGATCCGGCTGCAATAAGTCGTTAATCAGACAATGAAATGAGATCAATAATTTCCTTTGCAGAAATGATTGTTTCTGCTGCTTGTTTTTTTATTTTTTATTTTATTTATTTTGTTGATTTATTTGGATGATTAAAATGTTTTTCAGTTCCAGAGTTAAATGTTCGTTAGGATATAAATGTTTTATTATTACATCTTTATTATTATGTTAGTGGAAAATGGCTTCAAAACAACATCAGCATTTATTTATCACTGTGAGAAATGAAAAGAAATAAAGTCAGACGAGTCACAGTGTAGAAAATAATACCAGATTAGACCATCAGGTTGGTTTCGGTCTCTAAAATGTTCTGGACTGTAACTGGTGCTGACCCAGTGACCGGCCCGCCCCAGTGGCTCTTAAAGTCTGACCTTCCTCCGGTCCAGGAACGACGCAGCCGGTGAACTGGCGCCGGCCCGTGTACCAGCTGGACTCCGACCCGGAAAACAACGGATTCATCAACGAGGATTTCATCGTCTGGATGCGGACCGCCGCCCTGCCCACCTTCCGGAAGCTGTACCGGATCATCCAGAGGCGGAGCAACATGCATCCCACGCTGCCGCGCGGCAACTACACCCTGGAGGTGGTGTACAGTATCCTGACAGGGGTCAGAGGTCAGTCTAAGCTCTCCTACAGTAATCCGTGTTCCCAGTAGAACCCAGGTGGGATCCAGAGTCTTCCTCCTTAACGAGCGGATCCCAGATTATCCGGTGCGGAGCTTCGATGGCCGGAAGCGGATGATCCTGAGCACCATCTCCTGGATGGGCGGGAAGAACCCGTTCCTGGGCATCGCCTACATCAGCGTGGGCTCCGTCTGCTTCCTGCTGGGCGTCGTCCTCCTCATCATCCACCACAAATACGGCAACCGCAACAACGCCGCCGAGATCTCCCACTGAGAGCCGGGCCGGGCCGGGCCGGGCCGGGCCGGTTCTGCTGCAGCCAGCAGCGTTGACGTTAAAATCAGCTTTTTTAGATTCCGACAACACGGCAGAGCGAGGAGGAGCCGAACAGGAAAACCAACCCCAGGAGTTCTGGAGCGACCCGCCGGGTCGCAGTCGTAACGCTCTCACTGCAGGAACCGGGTTCGGCTACCAGAACCGACCGGGTCGTTGGGATGGGTGGTCTGGAAGCTGGGTCGGTTCTATTCTGACTCCTCAGTGAAATCAGTGCAGCTGCAGCAGTCTGTGCACAGGGAGCTGGTTAGTCCTTCTGACTGAAGCGTTCAGTGGTTCCGTTCTGACCCGGATGACCAGACAGCGCCATCAAACGTTACGGTTCTTTTGAAATTAACTTCCTCAGAGCTCAACAGAACCTCTGGGTTTAGTGAGTCCAGATCCACTTCAGGAAGTTCCTCCTAACGATAAAAGCTCCTGGATGTGTTTCAGGATGTAAACGCTGCGAGAAAAACGGATCTGAACGTTTTCTGCCCCGTTGTGAAGCTTCCTCCCGTCCTGCAGGGGGAGCTAAACCCATCCAACTGTGAATGTTAGTGCTAACATTAGTACAATAGCTGAGGCAGCAACACCTGCTTAGATAAGCTATAATAATAATAATCTGTCTGCAGAAACGCAGGACGATCATTTCAAGATCATTTCTGCACATTTTAGTCATTAATATTTCCAGCGTTGAGATCCAGGAATTATCCAGGTCCATTCATCATTTCTTTACATTTTCCTTTGAATCTGTTTCATTTTAATAGTTTTTACAAATTAATGCAGAAGAAAAAGTAGAAATAGATTCAGAAGAACCGAAAACTAAATGATTGATGTAGAATTTTCAGAGACCAGCGATCCGACTGAGCGGTTCTGGTCCTGGTTCTGGTCTTGGTTTTGGTCCTGGTCCCGGTCCTGATTCTGGTTCTGGTTCTAGTTCTGGTCCCGGTTCTGCTTCTAGTTCTAGTTCTGGTCCTGATCCTGGTTCTGGTTCTGGTTCTGGTTCTGGTCCTGGTCCTGGTCCCGGTTCTGGTTCTAGTTCTAGTTCTGGTTCTGGTCCTGGTCCTGGTTCTGGTTCTGGTCCCGGTTCTGGTTCTGGTTCTAGTTCTGGTCCTGGTTCTAGTTCTGGTTCTGGTTCTGGTCCCGGTTCTGGTTCTAGTTCTAGTTCTGGTCCTGATCCTGGTTCTGGTTCTGGTCCCGGTTCTGGTTCTGGTTCTAGTTCTGGTCCTGGTTCTAGTTCTGGTCCCGGTTCTGGTTCTGGTCCCGGTTCTGGTCTAGTTCTGGTCCTGGTCCTGGTCCTGGTCCTGGTCCTGGTTCTGGTCCTGGTTCTGGTCCTGGTCCTGGTCCTGGTCCTTGTTCTGGTTCTGGTCCTGGTCCTGGTTCTGGTTCTGGTCCTGGTTCTAGTTCTGGTTCTGGTTCTGGTCCCGGTTCTGGTTCTAGTTCTAGTTCTGGTCCTGATCCTGGTTCTGGTTCTGGTCCCGGTTCTGGTTCTGGTTCTAGTTCTGGTCCTGGTTCTAGTTCTGGTCCCGGTTCTGGTTCTGGTCCCGGTTCTGGTTCTAGTTCTGGTCCTGGTCCTGGTCCTGGTCCTGGTCCTGGTCCTGGTCCTGGTCCCGGTTCTGGTTCTAGTTCTAGGTCTGGTCCTGGTCCTGGTCCTGGTCCTGGTCCCGGTCCTGGTCCTGGTCCCGGTCCTGGTCCCGGTTCTGGTTCTGAGCGTTGCTGCTGCGTCTTGTTGCCTCGTCGGTCTGACTGATTCCTGATTGGATCTTTGGATCCTGCAGGTTGTAACTCGTCTCTGTGGTTCTGCTCTCTGTGCTGCATGAACTAAATGCATCCTGTTTCATTTCTGCACTGATGACGTTTGTTTTGAATATTATTGTTGCTTTAAATGAATAAATTCTTCATTTTTAAAACATGATTGTTGTTCCTTTGACTGCTCTTCACTTCCTGTCTGGATTGACGAAGACGAGGAGAAATTTTGCAGCTTTGGGTTCTGACCCGGATCATCTCCATCTGGTCTGGACTCGGAGTAAACCGGTTCCTCTTACTGGTCTGGACAGTTGAAACCTGCAATGTGAGCAAAGTCCAATGGATATGAAAATGGAATCAAGAAGTTTTCAGGAGGGAAAACTTTTGCTGTTCCTGCCCAGATTCAGGAATCTGGGCAGGAACGCGTCTGAAGCCTTTTCTGGCCTGAAATTGGAAAATGATCTGAACGATTATTCACCAATTTAAATCAGAAAGTAAAGGCTCGTGTGAAGCTATTCCACTCAGAGAAACAACTGGTGTTTATTCTGATGGTTCTGGCTTCCGGGACATGAAACGGGTCTAAAGCCTGAACGTTAGACCCGTTGAACAGAATCTCCCTTTTCTGTTCAGTTTCTGCTCAGTTCTGGGTCTGAGCTCCTTTTGCATGGAGATCAGGTGTAGTTCTGCTGAGGTCTGGAAGTCCAGGAAACATTAAAACACTCGTGAGGATTTAATTCCATTCAATCTGAACATTAATGCGCATAAATTCTAAATTTTTTGACTTGGAGTTTCAACTGACCATGTAGTTTGGCTGAGTCTCCGGCAGGGGGCAGCGGAGCGCTCAAAGCGGAGAACTTCACCGAGCGAAGAAGAAGCAGCGGCCGCAGCAGCATCTGTTGAGTTCCGGTGTCCTTGTGTTGGAATCGCGCTACCAGACGGGTCCACTAAGATGTTCAGAACCATGAATGTGAGTAGATTGTACTGGTTATTAACCTTCCGGCTGTTGGCACCCATTTAGTTCTGACCAGTTAGATTAAAGCGGCTCAACTCAACGGCTAGTTTTAGCTTCACTTAGCTAGCCGGGGTCAGAGAGCTTCCGGACCGGGTCGAGCTGCAACAGAACCTCCTGTCAGCCTTCAGCCGGTTCTGGTTCCGGTCATGAACAGGGCCAAGAGGAGGTTTATTAAAATGTCGTAGCGTGTGTCTGACTGACTTTGACCGGTGTCCGGCTGCGTTTCCCAGGCGGTCCAGCAGATGGCGCGGCGCAGCATCTGCAGCTCTGCCCGCCGGCAGGTGGAGAACAAGGTTCCCCAGAAGCAGAAGATGTTCCAGGTGAGCAAACACCCCGACACACACCTTCATGCGTCCAGCTCCACGTTCATACACCAGTGACGTCACGCTGGGTCAGAGGTCAATCTCCCGGAAGCTGAATGAAGGTCGAACTGTTGATCTGATCAGCAGTTCTGCAAGTTTGGATCATTTTTGCCCCAGAACCGAACAGAACCTTTTAATTTAATAAAGAACTGAAGGTTAATGATAATAACCCAGAACCTTTTGAGTTTTCTCAGAACCAGACCCAGTTGAGATCAGTTAACTGAATCACAGTTTCAGAGAAGAAACTTCAGAATTGTGTTCATGTAAAGTTTGGTTAAAAACTACAAATGTCTTGCTGTGATGATGTCATAAAGGAGCGTCAGAGATGGAAGTTTGTCGATTTTGAAATAAATGAATCACTTTGACTCTGTCTCAGAATAATGCAAAAATAAAGTTTGAGTAATACAAGAATAAAATTATAACATTTGGACAATTAAGTATTTTTTAAGAATTTCTCCACAAAAATAATAATAAATGGAAAAAATAACTATTGAGCATCTTTTTTGGTAGTTTTAGAAATGATAAATATTTAATCTTTTAACTTCAAACGGAACCGAACGGATCATAAGAGATATTAACTATTGAAGCTTTTCATTAAAATCACATTTTTCTCATAATTTAAAAAGATTCTTAGTATAAAAGTCAAATATTCACCACAGGAGAAATGTTTTTATAAAATGATCGTTTGACCTTTTTCTGGTCCATGTCTGACCCGGCAGCCGGTTCTGACCCGGCAGCAGGTTCTGACCCGGCAGCCGGTTCTGACCCGGCAGCAGGTTCTGATCCGGCAGCAGGTTCTGACCCGGCAGCTGGTTCTGACCCGGCAGCAGGTTCTGATCCGGCAGCTGGTTCTGACCCGGCAGCAGGTTCTGACCCAGCAGCAGGTTCTGACCCGGCAGCTGGTTCTGATGCATTTCTCCGATGGTTCTGTTGCAGGAGGATAACGGGACGCCGATCCATTTGAAGGGCGGCAGCAGCGATGCCCTGCTGTACCGGGCCACCATGGTTCTGACCGTCCTGGGTGAGAAAAGTTCTGATCGATCCGATCCAGAGGTCCGGTTCTGTTCTGATGCTCCGTTTCTCCCTGCAGGAGTCGGCTTCACGCTGTACGAACTGGTGAAGGCGTCGTTCCCTCAGAAGAAGGACTGACTCCGGTCCGGATCGTTGTTCTGGTTCCAGCTGGGCCCATTTGTATAGAGATGATATTCCCGGATCAGAACCGACCCGTTTCCTGCTCTCTCTGTGTTCTTGTTTCATGTTCTTGGAGCGATAACTCTATATTTCTGTTCACTTGAGGATCAATAAACACAAATACCTCTGATGACCCAGAACCGCAGATCCGACCCGTTTGTTCCAGAACCACAGCGGCCCGCACATCTGCAGTAACTTTAATATTTTAATAATGTCTAAACTTTAAAATCGGTTTTCAATTAAAAACTGAATTTATTTCTGTATTTTTTGTTGCAGTAAATTATGATTTTATTTAAAGGGGCGGGGCCTATGTGGGGCCAAGCTGATTGGTCCACAGGCTGACCAACCAGGTGACAGGTGGAGTCAAAATATTTAAATAATGACATCATCCATTTTTCGTTCTTATTTTCAGCACTTTATTTTGTGTGTGTGAATTTTGTTGCTTAAAACCTTTTTAATTAACATTTTGTTTAGAATATTTAATCTGTTTTTTTTTTTTTTTTAGTAAAATTTCAGCAAATAAATTCAGGGGGGGAAATAGTATAAGAATATAAAAAATATTCAGTAGAAGCAAAGAAGCATCCATAAACATCCAGATATTCAGACTTCGCTGCTGCAGCGCCACCTGGTGGAAAACATCCGTGCTGCTTGAGCAGCTGCGCGGCCGCCAGGGGGCGCAACAGGCCGCGTAGTTCCCTCACTCCAGTTGTTGGTTCCGATTAAAACGTCAAAATGCGGCCAGACAGCAGTGATGACGTCATGTTTAATTCCTGCCAGCATGTTCTGGTTCCGATCCAACTTCAACAGAACCAGGCATCAACTCATTAATACACGAACATCTGCAGACATTTAATATTCTGACTGAAATGAGTTCTGGATGTTTGACACTGAAACCTGCAGATGATCCAGAAAGACGGGAAAACTTTCCCAGTTTTCCAGACAGTTTTCCTCCTCCTTCCCTTCCCGGCTCCATCTGCAGCCGCGCGCTCCTCCATCACTGGAAAGGAATGCAGAAATATGGAAAAGTTTCCGTGCGCGTGCCAGCCCTTCAGAGGTTACGCACCACTTTCTGGCCCGGCTGCGTGTCGTAAGCGCTGGGAGCGCTGGGAGTGCTGGGAGCAGCCCCCCTGTTAAGTAGCGGGCCGCGTGGAAGCCCTCCCCACTTGGAAGAGGCTCCCCGACGCGTCTGGGAAGCCACAGAACCCACGGAGATCCCGAACCGGACCGGACCAGCCCGCGCGCCACCGAGGCTTCCTGCTTTCTTCCCGTTTTGAGAGCAGAACCAGCAGCTTCCCGCAGGTCAGTCCGGTTTCTGCTTCGTTCAGAGAAACTTTTCATCCCTCAGCGCTGAGCAGGTCTTGGCACCGCAGTGCGTAATTGCGCACGGTGCCAAAACTTGTCCACCTTTTTTCTCACCAATGGAAACATTTCCCTTCTTCGCAGTGAATTTCTCCCGATAGGCAGGAGTTAAACGGTCTTTGTGTCTGATAGTTGTGCATCAGAACCGAACCGAACCGGACCGGGAGAAGGAGCGCAGAGTTTCTCCAGCTGCTTCCTCACATGATGAATGTTATATTTATGATTCAATGTTTAAAAGTGTTCTTTTTTTTTTTCGGTTGATCGGTTTTTGTCAGGTTTCCACTCTGACCTTCTTCTTCTTCTCCTCGCAGATCGTCGCATGCTGAGCTGAGGAAGAGGAGCAGAAGATGAAGAGCACCCTGCTGCTGCTGCTGCTGGTGGTGGTGGTGGTGACCTCCTCCCGGGCCCAGGACCAAGGTAAAGCTTCGTCCTCCTCTTCATTCTCCTCCTCTTCTTCCTCATCTTCCTCCTCCTCTTCTTCTTCCTCATCTTCCTCCTCATCTTCCTCCTCCTCTTCTTCTTCCTCATCTTCCTCCTGCAGTAAATCCTGAATAAACTCTCAGAAACAAAACGCGTGTTTGTGATTTGATTTGTTGGATTATTTTCTCTGCTGCCTCAGTTTTGCTTCTTTTTGCAGGAATTTGAAAAATGTGTCTCGGATTTATGGATGGCAGCTTTCAGAGCAGATGTTCCCTCTAAATCATGACTTCAGCGCAGTGCTGTTGGTGACTCTTAAATATATGTTTGAAACCATAAATCACAAGAGAATATCACACACTCTACCACTTTATTACATTTTAAAGGACAGAATTAGTTTTTTCTGTTTCTGCAGCTCTTTGTGTCAGAGGAAGCTCCTTCCTGTCACAGCAGGAGGCGCTCTGGCCTAAAATCTAACTAGAAACATTTTAGATGAAATGTTCCAGTTTGGTGTAACAGCAGACAAGGGCCCCCAAGGGCCCCCTTGGATTCAGGTGGCCAAGGTTCCTGCCAGCGTCTCTCCTCCTGACTGAACGGAAAAAGACTAAATATGACTTGAACTTATTTTCCAGAGCAGAAAATCTGGATCTGCTCAGAGGTCAGCATGGGGCCTCTTCCCCATCATTTAGGCCCCTGTCAGGGACCCCGCGCCGCTTCTGCGGGGTCCCGAAGAGGCCAAGCGCCAGAGAACAGGAGAAGGTCTGGGTTGTGTGTGAGGCTCGGCGAGTGTGTGAGAGCGTGTGGAGGTGTGTGTGTGTGGAGACGGATTTCCCTGGTAGTTTCTGGACGTGTCGAGAAGCGGAAGGCCCCGCGGGCCCCCCGCCGCCCGGGGCCCCCGCAGCCCCAGGGACGCTCTCACCAGGTTGGTGGCCCCTCCGGCTCTCATGTTCTGTGGTCTTCCGGTCAAGCCGCGGCTCGGCCTCCGGGTCTCGGCTTCACGATGATATTTCACGGTGATGCTCTTCAAAAACCCTCTGACCGGTTGGTGGTTTAGGCTCTTTGCTCTCTAGCTAGAACCAGAACCAGAACCAGAACCAGCTGCTCTGGTCCATCCAGATCAGATTCTTCTTTATCCAGGTCCAGTGAACGTTTAGTCGGTTCATGAAGTCAGAACCGTTTCTCCTGCTTAGAGAACGTCAGTTTCTCTGGATTCATCTGTTTGCATGAAGCTTCAATCCAGATGACAGGAAGCTAGTTAGCTAGTTAGCTAGTCAGCTATTTTGCTACTCAGCCAGTTAGCTAGTTAGCGAGCCAGGTGTTGGTAGCTCCACAGACCCCAACCTGAAGAGGATCATGGTGAAATATTGAGGTCCATCGGTCCTCTGTCCATCCGTCCCTCTGTACACGGAGCTTTTCTTTTTGTCGCTCCAAGTTGTGCAAAGCAACTTTCCGTGTACCTGCATGTCGTCCTGCTGTTCCTCCGGTTCCTCTGCTGAGAACTTTGGTGCTTCAACCAGTTTTTACTGAATTCACAACAGAACCAGAGAACTAGACCAGAACCAGACCAGTCAGTAAGTCTTCATCCAGCAGAGAACTTTCAGGATGTGGTGGATCATCAGGTTCTGGTCGATTGGGTCCAATCGGGCCGCAGCAAGGTGGCTCCGATAAAGTATCTGATTCTGGTGTTTGTGGTGAAGCAGTTTAAGAACTTGAGTCAACGACCCATAGCGATTGGCCCGGATCGGTTCGTCTGGTTGGACCGATACCAGGAGCTAGACTGAGGTCAGGGACCGCCGGCTGGCGCCGCCGCATGGTGGGTTAAACCGGAAGGAAACGACCCGAGTTACTGAGCCAGGAACGGGAAGAAAATGCAGTTCAACATCATATTATCACCATTTTGTTCACTCATGTCTAAATGTCACCGTCGCAAGCTAAACATGTAGCATGAAGCTAAATTAGTTAGCATGTAAACATGTAGTTAGCATAAAAACATATAGTTAACTTGTTCAATATGTAGTTACCATGTGAACTTGTTGTTAGCATGTAAACATGTAGTTAGCATGATGAACATATGGTTAGCATGTTAAACATGTGGTTAACATGTAAACATGTAGTTTGTGTGTTAACCATGTAGTTATTATGTTAAACATGTAGTTAGCATGTAAACATATAGTCAACATGTAAAACATGTGGTTAGCTTGCTGGTTAGCAATCTGTGACATTTATACATGAATGAATAGCTTGGAGATAATGTAACTTCAAAAATAAGCCTCCATTTTTTTGTATTGATAAAGTAAATTACCCAAATCATTTCTGCGGTTTTCGACCTGAACTGGTGTCAAACCGGTTCCTGTCCGGTCCAACAGAACCAGACATGGAGACGTATTTCTGGTTCCTCCTGCTCACTAGGTTCCCATCAGCAACACCAGTTCATTCCATTTCAGTTTCACTGGTTGTTCTTTAAGCTGATGGGTTTTTCCTAATAATCCATTAGATCTATAACCAATAAAATAATTCAGGAAAAAAAATCAACAAATCAATAAATACTTGCAGCTTTATTAACCAATGAGATGTTTTAACGTCTAAATTCAGTTATTTGACTTTATCGGTTGAAGAACTGAGATAAACTCTGTTCACTTTCAGGTTTTCAGCCACTGCTTCCTCCCTGATCAGATCCTGAACTCTCCCAGTGTTCCCAGAACAGAACCACCTCTGGGTTTGGTTCTTCTTGTCGTGTCTCTCTCTCTGTCTGTTCGTCTGTTTCCTCCAACAGTGAGCTGCTCTGACTTCCTCCAGGAAGCGTTGACTGTTGGCCGCCCTTCAGATTACCCATGTGCCTCTGAGCCACAGCGCTAACCGCTAACCGCTGACGTTTTGTCTCCACAGTGGACGCGCCGAGCAACTTAAGGTTTAAGATTTTAAATGAGAACACGGTTGAGATGATCTGGAGCCGGCCGCTCAGCAGGATTCAGGGCTACAGGATACAAGTGACCTCTGACTCAGGTAGGAGTTCCTGATGACGTAACGATGACATCATTACATGCCTGGCTAGAGCAGATCATGTGACGTTCATCACAGGTCCACAAATCTCCATTAAACTAAGGCGGCCATTTTGAAAAATATTTACAAGCAAAAAAGAAACAGGATCAAAAGAATAAATGATTCAAAATATGTAGTTTCTGAGTTTACACCAAACACATTAATATCTTAATTCACAAATTAATTTTCTATGACAACTGTGGCGGCCATTTTGAAAAATACAAAAATTAAAAGTAAATAGAACTTTGATGAATCTGATGATCTATGATTTGACACCAAAAATACTAATCTTAGATTTATATTGACACATTTGTATTGACAACAAACTTTAAGAATGGCAGCCATTTTGAATTTTTCAGTGGGTAGTGTTTTTTTATGTTTGTTTTAAAAAAGCTCTCTGGGAACATTTGTGCCATTTTGCTGAATGATTCAGTCTTTGTGTCAGCCTGATTTCATTTTGGCTGTCGGAATCCACTTCCTGTTGGCTGGCTAACAGATGGTCTGCTATGGAGCACGGTGGTGGCAGCGTTATGCTGTGGGCTCTGCCCGAAAGCCATCTGAACGTCTGGCTGACTCTGTAGAGTCTGAAGGTTCTTCAACCCACCCAGCCGGGGTGTGAATACTTTTCCACATCAGGTTTTTCTTTCCCTCCGCTCTGGAAAGTCTGCGAGGGTTTTGTCGCTCTGCACTGAGTGGAAACATTTCAGGGAAAACATGAACCCACCATGACTGACGGAGATGAAAAACCACGTTCTTCTAAACGTCTTCCATCCGTTTGTCGTCCAGCGCTCAGGTCCTGATCCAGGACTTGTCTCCTCTCTACCTGGAACCAGGAGATGTTTTTCTGCAGCAGTTACCAACCATTTCATGCCAGATTTGAGAGTATTAAGGAGTTAAAGCATGTGCTGAGCTTTAATGTGGAAAGTTTTCATTAAACTGTTGTTTCCTCAGCTCTTCCAGCACTGCAGGTCAGCACTTGGAGTCAGATTTGACTCTTGGAGAGATGAAGTCATGTCATAGTTTCCTAATGGCTTCCTTCTGACTCTCTACTTTGTTGCAGGCGAAGCGGCGAGACAGTTTTCTCTGCCTGCCTCTGCCACTAAGACGTCCATCTCAGAGCTGAGTCCTGATGTGGACTATGTGGTTACGATCGTGGCGTTCGCCGGATCCCAGCAGAGTCTGCCCATCTCTGGCCAGCTCACACGTGAGTCACCAAACGGAAAGCTGAACGCCGTCCAACCGAGCACTTCAGCAGCTGGTAGCTCCAACACACCAGCAGCAGTAACTGGGAGACATAACAGGAAGATGGCTGATGAGTCAGCGGACGGCTGGATTTCTGATTTAAACAGAAACGTTGTCGTTTATTTTAGGCATGTCGCTGCCAGGCGTTCAAAGCTGCAGCTGAGATTTTATTACTAGTGCTGCTACTAAACGGTTTTAGGAGAAAGTTCATTTCCTCTGATCAGGCCGGTAAAAACTTTAAGGTGGCAAAAATAAATAAATGTATTTATTACATATAATTAAAAAAACTATTGTTTTTATGTCCACCTTATCCAGGGGATGGGGCCTGGCCCCCACGCGCCCTCCCTTTTGTTTGCCACTGCTTCACTTATGTTCCCACAAACATAAAATGTGTTAGAAGCTAAAAAACTTCAGAGGGATCCAGTTTGATAGATGTGTCATTCTTGAGATCTGTTTATTAACGAGATCATGTTTATTTAATCGATGTTGCGTCGGACAGTCCAACATTCCTGATTCGAGCGAAGAATTTAAACCATCTGATTCCAGGCAGACATGAAATGGATGTAAATGTTTTGCAGAACTAGTGGATCCTGGTTTGTAATGAAGGAAAGCAAGATGTTAAAGTTAACGACTCTGGAAAAGTCCTAGTTCGTCCTTCATGCTCCAGTTAAGGACAGCTGGTGCTGGTGCCAGTTTGCTGAAGGAGCTGTGATGGAAAGTCAATGTAGATGAAGCTAAACTCAGAGATCTGAGGATGAAACGTCCAGCAGGTTGTCTCGGTTCTGGCTTCAGGTTTTAGAGTAACAGATGATCTGAATGTTGTCGCTTTAATGGCTGACTTTAACCGTTTGTCCTCCAGTTGAGTCGAGCAGCAGCTCCAGAGGAGGAACCAGGAGACCCGACTCATCCGACCCAGTCAGTAAGTTCTGATCTAAACAGGAAAACTTCCTGCTGTGCAGCAGCCAAAACAACTCAAACTTACAAAACAAATCAAGAATAAATATTTACAACACACTATTTCTAGCTGTTACATATCTGAAGCTAGTTAGCCATTAGCTCTAATCAGAGCCTGGATTAGTTTACAGTCTGGACCAGTTCACCAGCAGGTTAGCAGTTAGCAAAGTCAGCTAGGTGAGGCTGACAGTGATTAGCTGACTAACCTGACAAGCTAACAGGTGGTGCCTTTTTAATCATTAAACTTGTTTTTGACACTTGTTGCAGACGACATAACAGTTTCATTAAGAGCAAATTAATTAGCAGAACTGCTGTTGTACTGGTTTAGCCGACTAATCTAACCAGCTAATTACCAGAACAATAAAGTAACAAGATCGTGAAAAATAATACTGGATCAATGCCAGTTGAAATCTTGGTTCTGTTAGCAGCTAGCGGCTAACTGTCTGTAATATGTGTTTAGCTTTTAGCTGGTTGAGTTCAGAACCTTTCTCCATTGAACCGCGGAGCAAAGCTGATGTTCCTGTTCAGTTTGTTGCTGCAGGTTTCATGTTATCTTCAGGCTAACGGTAGCAGAAGGCGGTTCCCAACAAACTGGACCCAACTGTACAGTAATATTCCTGATTGGACCCAATAAAACGCAGATGTTCTTGGTTTTCTGCCAACCAGTGGTGCCAGTTTCTGAATCAGCTGCAGGCGTTCACTGTGGGGGTCATAGGTCAGGATGGAGGCTGTTGTTGGAGTCCAGCTCTGATGCCTTGGTGGAAATGGAAACCATTACAGAGCTGCTGGTTTATAGGAACGCTGCTGCTGCAGCCTCTGTGGGCTCAGATCTGCAAACGATGACGAACTTTGGCTGAATTTTCTTTCTTTTCACAAGAGGAAAGTCAGAAGGAAACTTCCAGAAGGCAGGCAGCTGGTTAACTGCCTCTGCCTACAATGTGCAGCGTGAGCCAAGCCTTGTGAAGCCCTGATGATTACACTGAAACACACCATGGTTTACAAAACCAGTAAATGTACAACTCAACGCTTCCTGCTGGAGCCCCTGGTTGCTTTTCAGACTTTATTTGTGACTCACTGCTGCTGTCATTTAGTGGAGATTATTACTGTAAAAATATTTCAAGGATACAAATAAAATAAAATAGCATTCTCACCTCAGGTTGTATGTTTTTCATATTTCCCATTAGTCACATGGGTTTCAAGATGGCCGCAACGTTTGAAGCTTTTAAGTCAATTATTTTCACAAAATGCTACCCATTTTATGGCTTGGATTTACTTTATGTTCCATCAGGTGTTTTTGACTTTGGTCATTGTGTTTATTCAACTTTAAAGTAATAAAATGCAGCAGAATCAGAAACAGGCTGAGAGACGGTCGTCCCAACGATTAGCATTAGCTTCAGTCATCTTTTGTACTTAGCGATAGCATAGCTCCTTTTTTATGTGCTTAGTGGTTTGCCTTTAGCTTCCAATAATATTTTTAAATATCTGGTAGTTTAGCATTAGCTTCTGCTAATTTTATTATGTGTTTAGTGGTTCAGCAATAGCAGAACTAACTTTTTAAATGTGTTCTGTGGTTTAGTGTTCGTGAAACTAAAGTGACTGTTTAGTAGATTAGTGGTTAGAGGCTAACTGACAATAACTACTGCAGATTTTAGTGAAACATAAACATGATGAAGAAAATATGTCAATGATTCCAAACAAGCTGCAGATGAACTTTCATTTAATTAGCAAATCCAGGGCAAAAATGAATTTGGTCATCTTGGAAAACAAAACAATTATCAGAATAACGATTTCTATGGATCCACTTGGTATGACTTTGACTGGTCCAGAGGTGACTGACTGGTTCTGACTCTGACTGGTTCTGACTGACTGGTTCTAACTGACTGGTTCTGACTAACTGGTTCTGACTCTGACTGGTTCTGACTCTGACTGGTTCTGACTGACTGGTTCTGACGGACTGGTTCTGACTGACTGGTTCTGACTAACTGGTTCTGACTCTGACTGGTTCTGACTCTGACTGGTTCTGACTGACGGGTTCTGACTGACTGGTTCTGACTGACTGGTTCTGACTCTGACTGGTTCTGACTGACTGGTTCTGACTCTGACTGGTTCTGACTGACTGGTTCTGACTAACTGGTTCTGACTCTGACTGGTTCTGACTGACTGGTTCTGACTGACTGGTTCTAACTGACTGGTTCTGACTGACTGGTTCTGACTAACTGGTTCTGACTGACTGGTTCTGACTGACTGGTTCTGACTCTGACTGGTTCTGACTGACTGGTTCTGACTCTGACTGGTTCTGACTAACTGGTTCTGACTCTGACTGGTTCTGACTCTGACTGGTTCTGACTGACTGGTTCTGACTAACTGGTTCTGACTGACTGGTTCTGACTCTGACTGGTTCTGACTGACTGGTTCTGACTGACTGGTTCTGACTAACTGGTTCTGACTGACTGGTTCTGACTCTGACTGGTTCTGACTGACTGGTTCTGACTGACTGGTTCTGACTGACTGGTTCTAACTGACTGGTTCTGACTCTGACTGGTTCTAACTGACTGGTTCTGACTCTGACTGGTTCTGACTCTGACTGGTTCTGACTGACTGGTTCTAACTGACTGGTTCTGACTAACTGGTTCTGACTCTGACTGGTTCTGACTAACTGGTTCTGACTCTGACTGGTTCTGACTAACTGGTTCTGACTGACTGGTTCTGACTCTGACTGGTTCTGACTGACTGGTTCTGACTTCTGACTGGTTCTGACTGACTGGTTCTGACTCTGACTGGTTCTGACTCTGACTGGTTCTGACTCTGACTGGTTCTGACTGACTGGTTCTGACTGACTGGTTCTGACTCTGACTGGTTCTGACTAACTGGTTCTGACTCTGACTGGTTCTGACTAACTGGTTCTGACTCTGACTGGTTCTGACTGACTGGTTTTGACTAACTGGTTCTGACTCTGACTGGTTCTGACTCTGACTGGTTCTGACTGACTGGTTCTGACTCTGACTGGTTCTGACTCTGACTGGTTCTGACTGACTGGTTCTGACTCTGACTGGTTCTGACTGACTGGTTCTGACTAACTGGTTCTGACTCTGACTGGTTCTGACTCTGACTGGTTCTGACTAACTGGTTCTGACTCTGACTGGTTCTGACTCTGACTGGTTCTGACTAACTGGTTCTGACTGACTGGTTCTGACTCTGACTGGTTCTGACTGACTGGTTCTGACTCTGACTGGTTCTGACTGACTGGTTCTGACTGACTGGTTCTGACTCTGACTGGTTCTGACTGACTGGTTCTGACTAACTTGTTCTGACTCTGACTGGTTCTGACTGACTGGTTCTGACTCTGACTGGTTCTGACTGACTGGTTCTGACTCTGACTGGTTCTGACTAACTGGTTCTGACTCTGACTGGTTCTGACTCTGACTGGTTCTGACTGACTGGTTCTGACTAACTGGTTCTGACTGACTGGTTCTGACTCTGACTGGTTCTGACTGACTGGTTCTGACTGACTGGTTCTGACTCTGACTGGTTCTGACTGACTGGTTCTGACTCTGACTGGTTCTGACTGACTGGTTCTGACTGACTGGTTCTGACTGACTGGTTTTGACTAACTGGTTCTGACTCTGACTGGTTCTGACTCTGACTGGTTCTGACTAACTGGTTCTGACTGACTGGTTCTGACTCTGACTGGTTCTGACTGACTGGTTCTGACTCTGACTTTTTGACTAACTGGTTCTGACTCTGACTGGTTCTGACTAACTGGTTCTGACTCTGACTGGTTCTGACTGACTGGTTTGACTAACTGGTTCTGACTCTGACTGTTCTGACTCTGACTGGTTCTGACTGACTGGTTCTGACTCTGACTGGTTCTGACTCTGACTGGTTCTGACTGACTGGTTCTGACTCTGACTGGTTCTGACTGACTGGTTCTGACTAACTGGTTCTGACTCTGACTGGTTCTGACTCTGACTGGTTCTGACTAACTGGTTCTGACTCTGACTGGTTCTGACTCTGACTGGTTCTGACTAACTGGTTCTGACTGACTGGTTCTGACTCTGACTGGTTCTGACTCTGACTGGTTCTGACTGACTGGTTCTGACTGACTGGTTCTGACTCTGACTGGTTCTGACTGACTGGTTCTGACTAACTTGTTCTGACTCTGACTGGTTCTGACTGACTGGTTCTGACTCTGACTGGTTCTGACTGACTGGTTCTGACTCTGACTGGTTCTGACTAACTGGTTCTGACTCTGACTGGTTCTGACTCTGACTGGTTCTGACTGACTGGTTCTGACTAACTGGTTCTGACTGACTGGTTCTGACTCTGACTGGTTCTGACTGACTGGTTCTGACTGACTGGTTCTGACTCTGACTGGTTCTGACTGACTGGTTCTGACTCTGACTGGTTCTCACTGACTGGTTCTGACTGACTGGTTCTGACTGACTGGTTTTGACTACTGGTTCTGACTCTGACTGGTTCTGACTCTGACTGGTTCTGACTAACTGGTTCTGACTGACTGGTTCTGACTCTGACTGGTTCTGACTGACTGGTTCTGACTGACTGGTTCTGACTGACTGGTTCTAACTGACTGGTTCTGACTCTGACTGGTTCTAACTGACTGGTTCTGACTCTGACTGGTTCTGACTCTGACTGGTTCTGACTGACTGGTTCTAACTGACTGGTTCTGACTGACTGGTTCTGACTCTGACTGGTTCTGACTAACTGGTTCTGACTCTGACTGGTTCTGACTCTGACTGGTTCTGACTGACTGGTTCTGACTAACTGGTTCTGACTGACTGGTTCTGACTCTGACTGGTTCTGACTGACTGGTTCTGACTGACTGGTTCTGACTCTGACTGGTTCTGACTGACTGGTTCTGACTCTGACTGGTTCTGACTGACTGGTTCTGACTGACTGGTTCTGACTCTGACTGGTTTTGACTAACTGGTTCTGACTCTGACTGGT